AGCACAAGTCTCTTTCCCGGCTCCCATCACCCAGCCTCTTCCCCTGGACGCCTCAAGGCCAGAGAATCCTTTGCTTTCACTCATTATCCCTCTCGCCTCCTCTAACTGGGGGAAGGGCAGGTTGTGTTTGGATGTAGCTGCTTCTGCAGCTGACACTTTAATTCTTGATTTTAAAAACTTTATTGTTTAAACACCAGTTTGCCTCTGAGGCAGCCAAGGCCCCATGCCGGCTTGTTAATTATCAGCTGCTAAACAGCACTTTTCTCGTCACTTTCTCATCAGAGCTGATGAGGCGGAGGCCACTGGGGATACGATGCCGGTGCTGGAAAGGGGCCGGGTGGCAGTCTCAGCCGAGTCCCAAAGCAGCACACAGGAAGGACCCGGGCCCACTCCTGTGGGCAGGCGCTGCGCCCCAGCTGCACACGCAGCCCTGCACTGGCACCGGGAGATCCCAGCAAGCCAGGCCTTGGCCTCGGGAGCTCAGGGTCCAGCAGGAGAGGACATGAGAGTGACTGAAGTCACATGCACGGCAGTCGTACAGCGAGTATCACCACCACTGGGATAAGAAAGGTAGTCAGGTACCCTGCCTAGAGTGGAGGGTGAAAGCTACGCCTTGAAGGACAGCTCAGTGCTCCGAGGACATAAAAGGACACACAAATGGAGGGCCCAGGAGACGCGATGGGAGCCTAGAACACACTGCAGAGGGGGCAGCAGGCATCTCCTGGCAGGGCGAGCGTTGGTGCGCGATGAGGTAGAGGCGGAAAGGAAGGCCAACGCCAGCTTACTTGAATACCATGTTTAGAAGTCAGAGCCCTTCGCTGGAGGGGAGGGGAGGCTACGAAGGTCTCTAAACAGAAGTGGAGTTTATGGTCCTATCTGACTGGGAAGGATGGTGGAGTCTCTGAAGGAAACCAGACCAGTGCCCTTGAAAAGCAAGCGCCGGGAAGAGAATCAGGGCCTCTCTCCCAGGGAACAGCCGGGAGAGGTGGCAGGCACACGTGCTCCCCAGCAGACGGACACTCCTCGGGGCTCCGCTGTCAGGGTCCACAAGAGGTGCACTTTTCCCCATCTCTCGGCCAGGCCTGACTGCCAGGAGGAGCCTGGGGGTGGGGTCCCATCTCTGCATCTCTTGAGAGCCCGTGACAGGCTGTGCGCTCTGAAAATGTGCTGTGACACCGGGTGGCAGGGAGCGCACATAGCTGCGCCCAAGCATCTGTGAGGCTCGGGAACAGGGAGCGTTGAGCAATATTACAAGTATTGGAAACTAAATCTGGAACTTAATAAACACTGATCTCTAACAAGAGGAATTTTTTGTGATGGTAAGTTTCTAAAAAGGAAGCTCCCCATCACTGAAGGGATTTAAGCATAGGTTCCATAGATCAGAGGTGGCCAAACCCTGATCATTGTCAGGTAAAAATACACCTTCCTGAATACCACCCTGTAGAGTCTTGAACTCAATTAACATACAAAGAGTGGAGCCCAGAATCTGTATTTTCCAATGTTTGCCAAGGTGATGCTGACAATCATCCTGGTTTGGGAGCCACTGGGCTAGATGGCCATCAGCCATACACAAGACAAACTAAATGCTATTTAAGGTCCCTTTCTCTTGATCCTCTGGCCTGAACCTCAAAACCTCCCTCAGGTTCTTCTACAAATCCCGCTCCAGCTCAGGGAAGCCTTTCCCAGATGCAGAACGACCTCCTTCAGAGTCAGCACTAAGAGCCTTCCTTCTATGACGATGGAATGTTCTCTGCCTGCGCTGCCCAAAACGGTGACGACTGAGCATGTGAAAGGTGCCTAGTGCCACAGAGGTACTAATTTCATTTTATTTCACTTTAAATAGCCACATGTGGCTGCAGTTACCATATTGGCCAGTGCAGCTTCTGTGAACGCCCATCCACAATCACTGTGGGGTCCAGGCAAATGCGCACATCCTGACTCCATTCCCTCCACCACCGCGGCCTGGAGCTCATCGCAGCCTGAGGACCACCTGACGACAGGGAGACGCAATGCAAAGAGAACAGCGGGAAGGGGGAGCTCTGTGTTGGCTGTGCCGGAGGAAGCAGGTAAGAGAACAAAGAGCCTGAACAGAAGCCCAGCCCCGGGGCTTGGTCCTGCTCTGCCAATGAGGCAGTGACACCAGGAGCCCCGCGGCCATCACCGCTGCGGCAAGCAGACCAGACCTCATCCTCAAGGACCCCCTCGTCCCCCAGGGCACAAAAGCTGGGGTCTCGAAGCAGGTTTGCACTGACCCTTTTTGGCTGTACTGGGGCACAGAAATCCAAGAGAGAGGAAAGGAATCTCACCAGAGAAAGTTCCAGACCTCAAAAGTTTTCATCAGGGAACTATATCGTCTGAACACTTCCAAACACAGCTGGCTCCCTGCCCAGGCACAGCACAAAGGCCAGAGTCACACCTGACTGAGGACTCCAGATTCACATGTGTGGTCTCCAGCCTGGACTCCTGCCTCCCACTCCTCAGGCCCTTTCCCCAGCATCTGCCAAGACACGTGCTCTGAAGTGTCTACCAAAGAGGGAGGTTCTCTGAGCCCAGAGACAAGGACTGCCTCAACCTTCTGCGATGCCAAATGAACACAGACAGACGCGGCAGCACGTGCGGCCAGGTGGGCGTCACGGTTAAACGGCTGTCACTGTCCAGGAGACGCAGCCTGTCTCACCTGGAGGACAGCGGACAAGATGCGTCTCAAGGCTCCCTGGGCTCAGGCCATGGACGCTTTCTCTTTGGGGAGGCAGCTGGCCTGCTGCAGAGACCGTCCTCGGAGGAGAGGGACACGGGAAAGCACGCAGCGGGAGGAGGGCTGGAAGAAAGGCGAGGGACAGAAAGCACTGTGGGGAGGGCCATAACCATCCATCAAAGACTAGGTACTTTTGCTGAAGTTTACTGGAAGTTTTCCCCTCTTTCTTGCTCTATAAAAAGAAAGAAAGAAGAAAAAACAACATGTTGCAATTTCCTTTGTCACCGCACATGCTCAGGAAAAAACAGGCCCGGCCCATTGCTTCACTTTCCCATCTGCACTAACGGTCAATCGCCCCATCCTGAGCCCCCACTTCTGCTTGCCCAGCTCCTGAGAGACCGGAGCCGAGAGCCTTCCGGCACCTGCCTGCCTCCTGCCACTCCTCCACCCTGGAGGTGAACACACAAAGGATGTGACTCTTCAGAGCAAGAGAGAAGCCCTGCGAGGGCCCAAAGGGGAGTAAAAATCACCCCGTCGCCCTAACCGGTTTGGCTCAATGGATAGAGCATCGGCCTGGGGACTGAAGGGTCCCGGGTTCAATTCCAGTCAAGGGCAAGTACCTTGGTTGCGGGCACGTCCCCAGTGGGGAGTGTGCAGGAGACAGCTAATCGATGTTTCTCTCTCATCGATGTTTCTAGCTCTCTATCCCTCTCCCTTCCTCTCCGTGATAAATCAATAAAATATATTTTAAAAAATAAAATAACCCTGCCACTGGGTCAGCCTGGCCATTTCCTGTCATTGCCCCCTCCCACCCTGGCTCTGAGCGATGGTCAGGCAACACCCCACCCCAGCATGTCCTATCAGCGGAAGACCCATGGGGAGACAAGCCTCTTTCCCCCTCGGCCACACAGAAGGTGAGAGCTCCCAGTGACGTGCCTCTGTTGGCCTAACTTTTGTCCGCACGATCTCCTGGGTGTCACAGGGGTGAGTCCACGAAGTGTCCCTGTCAGTGCCAGGCTAAAGTGATCCCACCTCTCACCCCTCCAGCCTCAGGGAGCCATCCCATGCCTCTGTATCCTTCGTGGCCAGTCTGTTGCCTGCCTCATCACTTCCCAACACCACCTCCCTGAGCTTCTTTCTTCGTGTGTAAAACCTGGAACTGACCACCTGGCCTACCTACCAGAGGTAAAGTAAGTCCTCAACGCTGTCGGTGGTAGGTTCTGCGACTTTAAGTGAAACAATGGATAATGAAACCAATTTTAGCGTAGGCTGATATATAAACAAGAGCTCAGTTCCACAGCAGCATCTTATCAATGTCATGATGGAACGACGTGACTGTTCGAGGACCTGCTGTACTCCTGTCACTGTGTCAAGTGGGAGCCTGTGTGAAGGGCACAGCCCCGATTTAGGAGGCAGTCTTCTTCACTCCTCTCGTTCCTTATACACACACATAGGTGTTCTCTCCTCCTCTGAACTCTAACTTCCCAAAGGCAGGGCCTACATTTATCACTAGCAATTTGCACAAAATAAGCATCCATAAATATTTGATGGTAAAACATAAATTGCTAGGTCAACTAAGTACTGAATTATAACGCAGCCACAGAGGAACGATTAGAGGCAGTTCTGCAAGCTATAAGGAGCCCCTTTTAGAGTTGGATACTTCCATCAATAGCATCCTCAGGGCTCTGGACTGGCTATTGTGTCTGCCTGCAGACCCTCCCCCTCCAAATATTTCCAAGGCTCACTCAAATGTCACTTTTGTAGTGAAGCCCTGCCTGAGCCCCTATTTAAAATGTCAGCATCACACACACACACACACACACACACACTCCCAGCATTCCAGGGCCTCCTCCTCTGCTGTATCTTCTCCTTTATACCTATCACCATCCAATAAGCTGTATCACTGAACTGACTGTTTTGTATGTCTCTCTCTGCTAGAGGGACGATGTCTCTCTCTGCACGATCTCCTGGGTGTCACAGGGGTGAGTCCACGAAGTGTCCCTGTCAGTGCCAGGCTAAAGTGATCCCACCTCTCACCCCTCCAGCCTCAGGGAGCCATCCCATGCCTCTGTATCCTTCGTGGCCAGTCTGTTGCCTGCCTCCATGCAGGTAGGATTTGTAGTCTGTTTTGTTTTTCTGGCCTGTTTGTTACAGTGATATATGCCTAGAGCCTAAAATAATTCTTAGTAGGTGCTCAATAAATAATTGCTAATGAGTGAATTATTCTGAATATGTTTCCTCTAAGACTTTTACTTTGTAGTATTATTTTTAAGGATGAGCAACAGAGTGTAAGTAAAACACCTACCACAATGCCCGATACGTAGTATCTGCTCAATAAAGCCTTGTTATTCATCTGGGAAGCCTTTCACAGTGTTGCTAAACTTTCAATAGTGATCTAATGAGGCAGAAGACAGAAGGCTGTTGTATGTATCCAAGTCAACCTGCTGCTCTGATCTATCCTTAGGGAGGGAGGCTGTAAAAGTCAGTCTTGGCTCTGCTAATTGATTTTCTTGAGTATAAGTTGCTTTGGCTCTCAGAGGGATAGAAGACACATAAGGCAAATCCTGCTTAGAAAAGTGGGAGGTCTAGTCTAAGCTGCTAGAAATCAACCCCCATTATTCAGAAAATTCCTCTCATCTCAAATAGCAGAAGAATTAAGGGAGCCCATTCTAGGCCAATCCTGCCATCTGAGCCTCCTGATGGCCAGTCAGCAGGGAAGACAGGAGTCAGGCAAGGAGGAGAACACGTTTGTAAACACTGCTTGAATGGCTGAATGAATAAAACTACTACAGCCAGGAGGAGGGTGAAAGAACAGTGGCCTGCAGACAGCAGCACAGAGAGGAGGGCTCCCAGGCCCCAGGCGCCCTGGAACCTGGCTGATCACCTCTTTCACAGCATCTGCTTGTCTTCCCAGTAGTGGGGTTGCAACAATAACTGAAGAAAGCTCTTCAATTTGGGGTCCTTCCGGATCAAGTCTCAGTCCTTTCATTTACAAATGAGGAAACGGAGTGGTGGGCCCAGACAGGTTCTAGGACTTCCTGAGGACCACGCCGCCAGACCTCTCAGTTCTGTTTCCCCTGGAAATCTGGGGCATGGAGTTGAGGTGGCCCCACGAGGTTCAAACCTCTAATCTCAGTCCCGGCAACTTGGTGTGCAATGCTGGTCCTCTTGCAACACACGGAAAGGCCAGCAGACAGATCACTGTGGACTGCATCTGCGTGTCTCTGCTGTGTCTGAAGCTAGCTAAGAGATGCCAAGAGCTGAGGGAAAGCTGGCAAGCTCCACAGCCGTTCCTCCCTCGGTCTAAGTTTCCCGAGAGGCAGAAGGGCTCATCTCCACAGCGGAACAGGAAAAGGAGGGGCTCTGGAACAAGGAGTAGAGGAGAAGAGGCATCAATGGGAAATGGGGTCAGGGCCCTTACAAGAACGAAAACTCTTAGCAGAAGTAGAAGGTGCCAGCTTGAGTCAGCAGATCCAAGTGGGTGGAGGGAAGAAACGCCCAGAAGTCTCTTCTGAGAGTGGCTTTTTAGTGGACAGGAGGAATAACAGGGACAGACACTCCCGGGGACCTTAACATACACCAGTCAGTCGCACAGAGTCCGGCCTAATATTGTCCTTTTCCCAGAACCTCCTCTTCACCCTGAGGATCGGGGCTAGTACCTTATATTTGTGTAGAGAGCATCCACTGCTAGTCAGTTATCGTGCCTTTATGAGGCAGCAGGTATAATGCTCAGTGCCAAAGTCCTCTATGAATTTAATAATGGCATTCAGTCACCACATGGAAATAAGAGAATACAAAAGTAATGAAGAGGGAGGTCTTCAAGGAATGCAGAATCCCATGTCTAGCGGAGCCCCTTGCACATGGAGAAATACATTGAACACGTGCAATAAAGGTTTCCAGTGTCCTGGTCAGTTTGGCAGGGAGGGGTGGGGGACCCGCTTCCGGAGTGAAAGGCTTCGGGAAAGCAGCAGCATCACGAAGATAGGGAGAGAACAGGGAGATACAGATGGGGCTGGGGCGCAGAGGCAAATGAGCTACAGATGGACAGATGGGATACACACTATGGCAAAGGGGAGGGGCTAGGGAAGAGAGTCCTATAAGGAAACAGCATAGGTAAGTCCCTTAATTTTTTTTTTTTTAAATCGAGGTCAGATCAGGGAAGGATTTGGAAATCTCCTGTATTCTTCAGGCAAAGGGAACCCACTGAAGGGTTTAAGCTGGGAAGCTACATGATCAGAGCTGAGCTTTCAGCAAACTAATCCTCCATGTACCCCAAGGAATTGAGGGCCAAAACCTTCCTTCCACGGCTGAAGGTCCCCACCCCCACCCCACTATTCTCTATTCTGTCTCTCTCTAATTACATTTCAAACCCAGTTTTGTGCTCTTTTGAAAGCAATGAAGGCAAGGTAACCAAAATAACTGTATGAAATCAGTGGGCACATGCAAGGGGTACCCACGCCCCTCTTCTTCCTCCCTAAGAGCACAGCCCAGGGTAGGGGACACGCAGAGCATGAAGTCCCTGAGAATCCCACAGGCTCTGTAAAAAGAATGCTAAGCTTGTGAGCCTGGCAGCCAGAGGGAATAGTATAAACCTAAGCCTTTACAAAGCAGGCTACTACACATGCTCAGTGAGTCCCTGAGGCCTTCCGATCTAGGTGCTGTAAGGAGAGAGGTGCTGTAAGGAGAGAGGGCGGAAGGTACAAGATGACCCCTTGCTGCCCTCACCAGCACAACAGAGCACAGAGCTCCCAGCTCTAAGACACACAGTCTCTTCCCCGTCACCTGCATTCCTGGAATGCTCTAAGTTCCACACGTGGCCTCAAAGGCACAGGGCTACCCTCTCCCTGCCCAGCCCACAGCCCTAGAGCTCTGGAGATTCCTCACTTAGAGGGGATTCCCTCCCCGGCTCCTGGAGGCCGGCCTTCAGAACCTACCAGCCTTCCTCTAAGAATTACAGCCGCCAGGGAAGGAGGCGCAGGCCTGGGGTAGGGAGGAGAGAGGAGAGGAACAACACAGCTACCCAAGGACAGGGGCTCCGTCTGTCAGAGTTAAAAATAAACTCTTAGCAATTTACACCCAACTCCTCCGCTGCAGAGGCCAATGGGCCTTGGCAAACATCTCTCCCTGCGGAGGAAAGGCGGACAGACAGGAGGAGGCAGACATGGAGACAGGGTCTGGGCATGTAACTCTAGCTGAAGGCAAAAGTCCTACCTTGGCTTCTGTCACTCTCCCCACTCACCCTTCTCCCAAATAAACCCTCATCTCAGAACACAGACACAGACCCTCCCCCTCCTGTGCTATGGTTAGCACCAACACCTGTCCAAGGATTAGAAAAATCAGAAAGAAGAGAATTCCCAAGGCAAACATTCTGCCCAGTATCCACCTACCAGTTGAACAGGTGTCCCAGCCACCTGAGCCCCTTTCCTCACCTCCTGCTCTAGGTCCCCAGGACCCATGGGTGGCAAGGGAAGAGGTCACCTTGATGGACCTCAATGGAACAGATCACCAATCCCCATTACCACCGTCAGGAGGAAGATGAGACCCATGCTCTCTGGAAACCCCTGCAGGTGGCTGAGCTGGGAGAGCCAGGAGGCCATGGCCTGACGCAGGAAGGAGGCCCAGCCAGGGCCTCTATTCTTGGAAGCTGAGGAGATGAGGTCACACTTGTGAATGTGGTAACTGGAAGCCCCAGCGCTGCAGAGGTGGAGAGTATCGCTTAGGGCAGGTCGCAGGCTCAGTCCCGGGCAGCAGTGAGGGCCGGGGACAGCCACAGGTAGGCCTCTCCGCCTCATCCCCACACACCTGCTGGCAGGGAGCTGTTTGCAGGTGGAGCTTGGAGGGAGCCAGAGCTATAGGCAAACAGCGGCAAGTCTGATGAACTCTGATGAACTCGTCCACCCGCCTCCGTGTCTCACCCTTCCCCTAGTGGGGAGCAAGCAAGGCGGCTCCCCAGAGCCCTTGTGCACATGCATACAGCTCGCTACCTGGACAAGCACCAGCCACGGCTCACTCCCAGCACTCAGACCCTGGTCTGCTCCCAAACTACCTACTAGCTCAGGCTGGGAGCCAAGTGGCAAATGGGGAGGACGAGAGTGACAAGAGAGAAGTTCAGCGTGGCAGGAAGGCCTGGGACAGACACCAGGGCCTGGCATGAGGGTAGACTGCAGCAGTGGCAGGTTTATTTTTAGCTGCTGGGACAGAGGGGCTGAATCCAGGGCCAGGGTCCTGGTTGCCTTGGAACAATATGGATAATCATAATGGCAGCCAAGTGACCAACTCAGTCACCTGCCTGAGGAAGTGGAGGGGTGCAGAAGGAGCCCCCAGGAACACAAGCTGGAAGAGCTGGCAGGTGTATTGCCAGCAGGAGACCTCCCCTCCCCCATCTGAGACTAGAAAGAGTTCACCTCTGCTTCAGGTTCCAAAGAAGCATCTTCGTCGAGAAAAGCTAAACAGAGAGAAGGCCTGGCCAGAGAGGTTCCCTTGGTTCCCTTCATCTTTTCTGAGGCAAATAAAGCTTCCAAGGGTGGCCATGAAGGTGAGCCTTTGGTCACCACTCTGCACCCCAGACAAGCCCTGGAGGGCTCCAGAAATGCCTGGAAACGCCCCTTAAAAGTAAGATACCCTTCCTTCTAGCTCTTTGGGAAGCTCGGGTTCCTAGTGGAACAAACACACAGCCCGGCTGGTCTGGGAGGGAAGATCAGTTACAGACAGGGACTGACCCTGAGGCCATGTCCCGGCCTCTCCTACCTGCTGGATGGCGCAGTGGCACACAAGGGTGTTTTCTGGGTCAGAGAATGAAGATCGCAAGAATTCTGTACTGCCCGGCTGAGCACAACCTCATCGCCTTTCCACTGTGTCTCTTCTTCCTCCCACCAAATCTGATGGCCCCGCACACAGGACCCAACAGTCCAGAGCTCCAGGCCTGAAACTACTGCTTAGCCTTGAACACAACTCACCAGGCACCCGCCTCTCCTCTCCCTTCTTCAGACTCCTGATCTCACTCTTACCCAGTCCTTCGGGAAGGAGTGGCATCTGAATGGAAATCCCAACTTCCCATCAGCTCTGGGAATCAGTCTCCAACTCTCACCTCAGAACAGGCCTAGTCCCTGCTGTATCTCTGAGTGAAATAGAAGAAGACACGCATATGGATGGACGCAGCCACCCGGAGGCAAAGCCTGACAGGACACTGTGCTAGATTACAGCCTCACTCCCTCGCTCCGCAGGTGCCCATCACAGAGCCATGTTCGGCCCCATGACTTCAAATGGGAAAAGGGTTTCAGACAGGAAGAAAAAAAATCCCCATCTCCACCAGCACACTACGATTCTTCTGATGTCAAGGAAGTAGATTCACACGCCATGGACTTACAA